CGACGCAGGAATGTGGAATAATCGTTATTACCCGTTAACGACCGTTTTAACGACGTCGAGTCGATCGGCGGCGCACGACATGTTGGTGAGCGGCGACGCGGAAGGCTACCTGAGGCTTTTCAGGTATCCGTGCACCAGTGCTAAGGCCGAGTATATCGAGGAAAAGGTGTACAGCTCTTTAGTGGCTTGTGCCAGATTTCTTTACAACGATCAGAACGTGGTGACCGTCGGTGGAACCGACGCAGCTCTCATGCTCTGGGAGCTGGTCGACGAATAAAAGAAGAAGAAGAAAAAGAAGAAGAGAAGATCTCCTACCTCTTGTCGTAGATATTTCCCTTTGTGGCCCTTTGTCTACTATTTACAGCGGTTTAGACTGTGTACGTTCGTTTGTTGAAGAATTGGTGGCGATCCGTCGTCGAACCTTTTTCCTTTTCACGATACGAGAAAAAAGAAAAAAAAACACGATAAATCGTGTATCTTATTCTCATTAATGTGCTGGATTAATAACACGAGTCCAATAATTCGTTCGAAAATGAATGTCTGTACTACTATTGCTAGATACTTTTTAACAATTTTTACGAACGGTTCCTGTCCGACATCCCTTTCGATCGACTTCGATATATATATCGAATATATATATCGAGATCTTGTTGTAACGTTCGCCGCCCGACCACGTTTTTCTCATCATTCAAAATTCAATTGGAAGGCGTGCGAGATCGATCGATAAGGTTGTTCGTTCGATGAATTGTTTGTTAGCAATATTTGTTCGTTGATGGAATTCTTCCTGGAAAACAAGGAAACATTTTTAAACGTGAACATTACAGTTTTATACAACGGCAATACAACTCTCTTTTCCCTGTTGAAAGTACTATTACCAAATATTTGTTATTATAACGGAGGATAAACACTGTTTATCATTTTTACCAACAGAGAGAGAAGGGAAGATAGGATCTATGTATATAAAATATCTGTTGCAGTTGCACTTTCACTTTTTGAACAATCTTTGTAAACAACCTCATATCATAGCATAAAATTTCCAAAAACAGAAAAAGAAAAAAAAAAAAAGAAACATAATCCTCTTCTGAATGAATAACAATACGTTTATTCAAATTTCTATTAATTTTTCGATCAGAATCCCTCATGGAATACGTCTAGAAAAAAAGGATCCATTCTCCCTTCCTCTCCAATTGTTTTGTCATTGTCGTGCTATACGACTTCTTGTATACATTTGATAACAACGACGAACAATAACGTTATCACGCTACGACGATAATGCAGTACATTATTAAAAGCGTAATGAAAACAGTACGAGTAGTAGCGCGAGTGTTATATATCAATTATATCCAGAGTAGGGAAAGTAAAAAAGAAAAATGAAACGAAAAAAAAAAAAAAAAAAAAAAA